GCCTGTTTTTTGTTTGTTTCTTTTTTTTTCAAAATCTCTTAAATGTACCTTGTTTTTATTACCTGCACTTTCGTTCTCTCCTTCCTTCCTTCCGCGAACCTCGACTCTATACTACTACACACTTTTCACCACTATGTTGAACAGTGCCATTCTTATTCTCACATGTCCTTTGAACCTTCATCCGTGATCCTAAAAGCAGAATTTTATCCAAATTGTTAACATAAATTGTACTATGAAACATTACATATTTGACATCAAATTTTTTATAAATGCAATAATGGAATTAACTTATAGTTTGTGACGTGGCCGGATTCGCCAGTTACAAAAGAATGTTTGGAATTCGAGGCGGAAATCTCTTAGATTAAGAGATTTGTTAATGTTTGTATTTTGTTATTTTGGTGGTAAGCTGTGCTTCCGAAGAGGAGCAAGGCATAGTGGCGCGCGATCCTATCATTTTCAGCCTTAGGATAAGCAAAGCGATTTCCGAGGAGAGGATCCTACTATCATTGTACGATGATCTAGTAGCCATCGCGACTCCGTTGATTAGGAGGTCGATTAACGCTAGCCTGTCATTAGAGATGGCAGGGCGGAGCAAGTGGGCTAGATCCTTCCGACGCCGTCAGAAGAAGAACAGCGCTGGGAAGAGAAAAAATTCCCTAAGGGGCCGTCGCTGAAGCCACAGCTAGCTCGCCGTTTCCCGTTCCCGAAGAGTGCCGTATTGTTCCTGTTTCCCGAAAGGGCGCCGTACCATCTCGAGAAGTAGTCCAGCGACAGCGAGGCAGGCCGCAGCACAGCATCGGTGAACCCTAACGAATCCAGATAGCCTCATCTTGTACCCGCTACGTGCTCGCTCGTTTCCGGGTTGCTGTAGTCGAAGCTCTTCTGGTCGGCGCAGCCATTTCGTCCTGTTCCGTACCGATTCTCGACGTCCTACCGCTATTTTATACTGTTTCCATTCACACCCTTCCTGCCGTATTGCACGCAAATCCAGCAGAAGCTTGACGACCACACGTGGACACACCTATTTCGCGCGGCAGCCATCCTTTCCGTCGCATGGCTTACTATCATCACGCCGTTATCGTTAACTTTCGATTTCCGTGCATTTTTTTATGAAATTGTTTCTACGTCGGGAAAAGACTTTCGCCCATTCCCGTAATTCGAGCCCATTACCGTTTGACACTTTATCACCGTTCTCGTGACTGTCACGGGGCAAGCTTTGAGTGGGCGAAAGGTGATAGATCCTTCCGCGGACTAGCGGCATCATCGCATATACATTGGTTTCCTTTGAACACAGGGCCTTTATCGAGACGCCTTTGCGGGCCATGAATAGGATTCTTGTTGGAAGGCGTTGTGCCCTGAGATCGGTCTCTGTGTGTGGAGTCGGGTCGGTCTATATCATTAAGCTTCTTAAGGATTTAATTATACGATAGAGTTACCCGAAGAGATTGTTTACACACTACTTCGTGTCTTTGATTTCATTATATCTAATTTTTTCGTTCCACAGTGATTCTGGTCCGACCCCTCACCCATACCGTTTCTGGTCCCCGAACCCCCTAGCTCTGCCGTGCTGTGAAGGGCCGAGTTGCCGTCACGGAACTGACAAGGAAACATTCCCAAGTGTCCGCCCCCGATCTTATTGATTTCCATATATGTTCAAGAACACAAAAATCTAAGAGACACGTGTTTTTTTATATCTGCAATCGTCCACATTTAAGGGGTGAAACAACCCCCCAAAGTTTAGCGGAAATTCAGTTTTTATAATAATTTTCGTAGAAGCAGTGGAGGGATTTCGACGAAACTTGGCATAAATGTATTCCATATAAGGACGGTGAAAACACAATATTGTCCAGCAATGTTACACCCCCCCAAGGGGGTGAACTACCCTTCAGGCGACATTTTTTTGTAATATCTAATAAACAACCACTCCTACTTACGTTCCACTTACGCGATGTGCTTACTCACATAAAATGAAGAATCCGTGTTTTTTGCTTTTTACCAATAAACATTTACACATCGGTTGTATATAATGAATGTAGGTGGTATACGGGTATATTCCGAGTAGCTTTATTGGGTTATATCGTGACCCCAATTCATTGTATATAAATCTTGTGAACGTGCTAATTCCTCAAAATGTCGTTGGTTTTCATAATATGCAATTATTTACGAATATCGCTAACTCTATTATCGTAAAAACAGTAAAAATCCAATTTTACCGTTTCACCAAGGAGATTGTATTACTAGTTGGAAACGGGTGATGACTGCGTCATCGGATCTGTTGCGAAACTATTTTAGTCTCTTAAACTTTTTTTCAAATTTATTTATAAATAATTGCATGCTATGAAAACCAAGGACATTTTGAGGAATAAGCACGTTCACAAGATTTATGTACAATGAATTGGTCACGATATAACCCAATATAGCTAGTCGAAATATACCCGTATACCACTTACATTCATTGTTTACAACCGATGTGTAAATGTTTATTGGCAAAAAGCAAAAAACACGTATTTCTTCATTTTTTGTGAGCAATAATATGGCGTAAGTGGAACTTAAGTAGGAGTGCTTGTTTAATAGATATTAGAAAAAAATGTCGCCTGAAGGGTAGTTCACCCCCTTGGGGGGTTGTAGCATTGCTGGACAATATTGTGTTTTCACCATCCTTATACAGAATACGTTTATACCAAATTTCGTCGAAATCCCTCCATTGCTTCTATGAAAATTGTTATAAAAATCGAATTTTCGCCAAACATTGGGGGTTTGTTTCACCCCTTAAATGTGGATCATTGCAGATATAAAAAAAACACGTATCTCTTAGATTTTTGCGTTCTTCAACATATATGAAAATCAATAAGATCGGGGGCGGACACTTGGGAATGTTTCCTTGTGAGAAGTAGGTCAGACGGCCTGCAAGGTCCCGCCGGCTCGAACTAGTCATTGTGATGACCGGGCTCCTGAATTCCGCGGGCGCATGTACGCGCCTGGCTCCCTAAATTGCGGAGGAGTATCGGAGGGGCCAAATGCCGGCACTGACCCCTGTAATTGAAGGCAATGACGGCGTATTGTTATGCCGCGGAAGGTGGTGAGATTCTTCTCAAAGAATCATTAACCTTTTCTTGGCCAAGGACCCAGTTTTTGTTACGCACAATGTCCACGTTTTAGCTCTGTGTTCCTACAGGTTCGGGGTCTAGGCTAGGACTGACTTAATTTTAAGTTCAATAAGGTTTCTCGTAGGAATAAGGGCTTCTTGTTTTCGTGGCGCCGGGGACAACCGTCCTTTCTCATCGTTACCGGACTCCGTTCCCGCGGACGTCGAGATCTCTTCTCACGGTGTCTTCAGACGCCATGTAGTTCTAGGAAGCCATGCATTTAGGAAATTTTAGACTATCTCTAAATAACGGCATTACAACCCCTTTCTTATAAAAAAAAAGTTTGTTCGTTAATAATGAATAAAGTTTTCCTTATTCTATGGGCCGCAATTGAACTCTCCTCGCTTTTGGCTTAATCTTCGCTTTTTCGTGTTTGGTTGATTCAGAATAATTAGAGTGTCAGTTCCTAGTATTTCAGATTGCTCTGCAGCAAAATCTCGATCAGGCAGAATAGTCGAATTCATTACTTGATTTCCTCCGCCATTAATAGTTGAAAGCGCTAGTCCATAGACTTTCGTTCCTAAAGATTTGTCTTACGTGTGTGGAGATATCATTTGCTTGTCTTACAATTTCATTGGGGTTTACTGATTTCCTGAAAATTGATCGGTAAATTCAATACCTTACCCAAGTGTAGGTATCCTAGCGTACTTTAATATGGTATCATTTATCTCTTGAATTTTTACAGGTCTTATTCCCATATCTAAATGAAACTTTTCAGTAGTTGAAATTTCTTCTAATAAAAACAATACCACAGATAAGGTTCAACCTTCGCATCCTTGTCTTATTTTAACTAAATTATTATTTGAACTTCTTTAAGTAATTACCATATTATAATTTGGACATGAAATGTGTAAACTTTCGGGATGATACGCAGCCATTCTTGACCAGAGAAGAACTGCACCCAATTCGGATTTGTTCTACCTATTACATTTGCATTCTTTATCATTCGGTAGAGAGTGTATTGCTTGGCTTAAACAAGGATCCTGTACCATTTCGCTATATGATGGGCTATGCCTTTCGCAAAGTCTAATACCATAAACATTCTTATAATTAAATATTTCGTGTTCATTCAAGTGACTGTAATATCTTGTATCCTTATCGATTAATACATAACGCTCTGTGATGCTCATTAAACATAAATATTTATTCATCTTCGGAACGTGTACCATTTGCTAAAGCATGTAGAATTCCTCTTCAACAATTGGAATTGTTAATTCGAAACATAAACCAGTTTTACTGAGTATGAGAACATTAATTTGACAGAACTTTAGGAATTTATGGACTCGATCCTCTGTGGTAGAGAAGAGCATTCTATTAGATCCTAATCTGGTTCCAATTAGACTTTAAATTTGCTATGATGTTTCGGAATCTAGTAACGTTGGGTCAACCGTACCATTTAATCCGTTTACAACAATAATTCTTAAGTGACTAATTGCTTCAGTGTATTCGTTAATTACCTCACTCAATTAAACTGCAAAGATAAAAGAATGATCACTGGCCTCTAATTGACTCAACACATTACATTCTTTTCCTGTGGTGTTCGAGTATACGAGGTCTGTTGGAAAAGTATCTGACCTTATTTTTTTTTTTTTTTGCGAAAACCTGATGGATTTGAATCAAGCACGCTTTCATGAGCCGACGTTGAACTTTCGTGCGCATGCGTCAATTTTTTCCCGCCTGTCGATAGCGTCAGTTGGTGGCAAGCAGCATTTGAGTGAGGTAGTGTGTAGTGCTCGCGTCGGTTTTTTATTGCAAGGGAAATGACGGAACGACTGCATCAAATTTTGCCAGAAACTGGGCGACAGCCAGGTGGAAACCATTCGGAAGATTCAGACGGCTTTCGGTGGCGATGCTATGGGCATTACACAGATTAAGGAGTGGTACAATCGGTTTAAAGACAGCCGCACATCGGTGGAGAGCGAGCCACGCTCCGGTCGGCCATCAACATGCCGAAATGACCAAGTCATTGCCAAATTGAACGCTGTAGTGATGAGAGGCCGTCGTGTGACTATCCGAGAAATTGCGCAAGAGGTGGGCATCAGCACTTTTTCGGCACATTCCATTGTGACCGAAGATTTGGCCATAAAGAGAGTGGCGGCAAAATTCGTGCCAAAGCTACTGACGGCGGAGCAAAAGCAACTTCGTGTTGAAATCTCACAGGACATGCTGGACTCCGCAAACAGTGACTCCGACTTCATGAACACCATAATCACTGGTGACAAGTCCTGGGTGTACAGATACGATCCAGAAACCAAATCCCAGTCGTCATGGTGGAAGCATTCCTCGTCACCAAGACCAAAGAAGGCCCACCAAGTGCGAATCAACGTCAAAGTGATGCTGACTGCTTTCTTTGATTCCCGCGGTGTGGTACACCATGAGTACGGACCACAGGGTCAAACAATCACCAAAGAGTACTCCAGGTATGTCCTCCGTTGCCTACGTGATGTTGTGCGACGCAAGAGACCGGTCTTGTGGTCAACGGGAACTTGGCGCCTCCATCACGATAATGCTCCAGCACATTCCTCGCACTTGATTCAGACTTTTTTGGCGAAAAACCAGACTCCTGTGCTTCAACGGGCTCCTTACTCTCCTGATATGGTCCCCTGCGACTTCTGGCTGTTCCCCAAACTCAAGAGGCCGTTGAAAGGAACGCGATTTCAGACAAGAGAGGACATTATGGCAGCAACGACAGCCGAGCTAAAATCTATTCCGAAAGAGGCTTTTTCGGCATGCTTCCAATAATGGCGGCACCGCTGGGAGAAGTGTGTGGAGTCCCAAGGGGACTACTTTGAGAGTGATTAGGTGTCCAACGCTTCAGGTAAGCCAGTTTTTTTTCCCCGGCCAAAAGTCGGATACTTTTCTAACAGACCTCGTACAATAATTTTTTCTGCGAATTTTGAATTATCTTTAACTATGTGACGGATGAACCGTCACGGGATTCAAACGGCGCGCCATTACGCCGAGCGAGCGACCAGGTGTCGACGCTAATGCTCCGGCGCAGCCAAGTTCAGCCGGAGGAACCTAGAGAGGCCCGAGGACCGAGCAGAATGACGCGCAGCAACCCCGGAGAATAGAGCTAGAGAAACAGACCTAAGAAAAGTCACTTGTGTTCTCCGCTGTAACCCCTAAGTGCTTCGATCGAAAGAGCGAACCGTCCCGAGGCCAGAGGAAGCCCCTACCCACCCACCCCCTCCCCCACCCCCCGTTCGTGGGGCGCCACGCCGACCGCCTAGCCGAGAGTCGGACCGCCGAGCCCGACTCGACGCTGGTCCCCCATCCCGGCTACTGCCACGTGGCCCCACCGCCAAATCTCGGTACCCACTCAAGTAGGACTAACAAGGGAAGTTCCCCAACCGGGAAATTCAAAAAATTTTGAAACTTGGGGGATGTATAAAGCGATGAGTCACAATTTTTTTTTTTCAGCGGAACATCATTTTAAAGGGGTGAAATCATCCCCTAAAAACTATCCTCGCAAACGATGAGAGATACGGCAAAATGTTTCCAATAAAACATAATTCACTTAAGGGTTATCACATGGTTAAAAAAAAATTAAACAATTTAAACAATTGCAAAAAGTTATTGCAAAATTCTAATTACCAATTTTTATCAGCTTGGTTTCTTTGTGAAATATTACTGTGCGTTGAAAATATAACAACGTAGGCTCGACACCATTTTTTTTATTAGTGAAATTCACCGTTAATTGTGGAAAACCCCTTCTTAAGGACAAACAGTTTTCGGATTTTCTTAGTATGGTTTCGATACACTATTTGTGACACTAACTAATTTCGTAATACGTAACAATTCATATTGAACAAAATCTATTAAACCTGTAAAACATATGATAATTGTCAAATAATATAAGTGAAAATATATATGATACTTGTGACTTATCCACGGATAAAACAGAACGGCAAACTTGATTTTTCACATGTCGCAATTGGAATGACAAATGTACATCAATTCCCGTTGCGCAAAGCACTCATCATTGCATATCGTATTATTGTGGCTACTGTTATCTTATTTGTATTACTAATCCCATAAGATAATATGAGTTATGGGTATAGGTACTGGATTTTTCGCGACATTGTCAGTTCTAAAGAGTGTAGTGTAGAGCATCAATCATTTATGAAAATGGTTTTAGTAAACCCTGTAACTGTTGCTCTTTTGCTGATGAAAACATACGGTGTTACACACTATTCGCAAACATTTCTTAATAGTCATGAAACGGAATTACATGATTTTTTGAACGATGTGGTTAGAAGAAGTCAATAAGATACATCGTTTTCCATTGAAAACGACGTGATCCTGGAATTTTTAGAATCTTATAGACCGCATTCAATTGAATTTGTTGATGATATAATACCACCAACGCGCGAAGAAATGTTAAAAACTATTGAAATTGAGGGCGACTCATGTGTGCCGGAAGAAGGGGGTATAGTGGATTTAGAATTCTAAGAGAAAGCAGTTGCTTACTGGAAAAGTGGAAAAAGGAAAAGATATTCTGTGGAGGCAGTAAAACCAAAATTTTAGAAAGTCAAAACTTTGCTGCAATTATACAGATAAGGAAATATAATGAAATATCTTGATTTCATGACTGAAAACACTACAAGAATATTATTTCTCTTACATGCAATTAGACGGGAAGAAACTGTCAAGAAAGGAGGTTCGCGAAGAAATAAATGATTGAAAATTTCGGTACACGTACAGAATATTTCTCTTCAAAAGACGGAAGCTCGTGTTATTATTCACGATTTAGATTTTCCGAAATGGGCATTGCAAGCCATTGAAGAAGTAGGACTGCAGGATTTCAAAGCGTCAAAGCACTGGATTTGGAATTTTAATAGAACTTATAAAATAGTGTCCCGGAAAGTTAATAAATTTATAAGTCGATCAACCGGTACAGATACTGCGATATTAGATGAAATTGCTTCAAATTTTGTAAACAGTGTAAAACGGTACGTACGAAACTATGGTTTAGATAATATATTTAATGTCGACGAAAGCGGGTTCACTTTGGAATTGCATTCTGGTCGAACATCAGCTATGCAAGGATCAAAAACTGTTGAAGGTGTAGTACACAGTCTTTATCTGCTATCACCTATAGTTATACCATACTTCCTATAATATCTGCTTCGGGTAAACTGGTTTCGCCATTATTCATTGTATGGAAAGAACAAAGTGGAACTTTTGGACCGCTAGTTGCAGAAAGTTTACTCCAACCACCGAATGTTTATCTCGCGGCATCAACTTCTGAAAAATGAACAACGGCACTTTTCCATGAATGGCTTACATAAGTGTACTTACCAAATACCGGACCTCGTAGTGTGTAACAAGTAGATTCGTGAACAGGTCATTGCTAATCTTCATTAAACGAAATTATACCAGCTTGTAGAGATGTTGAAATACTTACACCACCTAAGAAAACAACAGGGACAATGCAACCCCTCGATGTTTACAGATTTCGAATTTGGATAAACTTCGTATGAAGATTCTCTGATATTGTTATATTAGCTGATTACGACTTCAATTTACGAACACGCAATAATGTAATAAAATTACAATCTTTAGTACATAACCAACTTTCATCGCCGAAATATCGCAAATTATTTACCTGTGCAGAACATAACTACATACCTGTGCCTGTACCTAGTACAAGAGCGGATATCTAAACGAGAGACCAGATTGTTTTGAAAATCCCGTTGAATTTGCATTTAGTCAGCAGGATTTTATACAAGCGCCACGTTGTTCTATATGCGGCAGTCAGGCTATAATTCGATGTTCATGGTGTGACAAGTTTCTATACTTTATCCATTTTTTTTTAGGAATTCCACAATCACCACTGATTCAAATAGGAATGAATCCGAAGAAGAATTAGAATAATCTAAAAATCTTCGAAGTCTCGTAAGGAGTATATGTTATACACACTTCGCGAGCCTATAAATTATAGCTGTAGCGTTGTTATATTTTCAACGACCAGTAATATTTCACCAAGACATCAAACTGATAAAAATTGTTAATTACAATTTTGCAATAACTTTTTGCAATTGTTTAAATTTTTTATTTTACCATGTAATAACCCTTATTAAGAGAATTATGTTTTATTGGAAACATTTTGCCATATCTCCCATCGTTTGCGAGAAATAAAATGAAAACTGAACATCGAATATTGTTTAACCCTTTGCACTCCGTTGTCCCCTCCAAGAGGACATTTTAAGTCTAGATGGGATGGCGCGGAGTACAAAGGGTTAAGTGATGATTTCATCCCTTTAAAATGATTTTCCGCTGAAAAAAAAAATTATGACTCTCCTAGGCGCGCCCTAAATATCCCCCGTTTCAATATTTTCTGAAATTCCGGTTTGGAGAACATTCCTTGTAAGTAAGGGAGGATTGAATTAGGTTAAGGACGTGGGCTAAGTTTAATTAATAAATTTATTCCTCGACGCATTACCCATGTGTTCTCTCTCGACCTTGATCGTTCCCCCCCACCACTTTCCCTATAACAAACTGGCGGCAAACTGACCCACGACCTGTCACCCCTCCTTTCCTTACACAGCAAGAAACACAGTAGAAACAAGAAAAAAAATACAGACAAGAGTTAGAGAGTTAAATAAAATAGGAGAACATGCTCGTAGAAGGATAGTAGTAGTCACAAAAGATATTAATAGACCAGGAGAGTAAGGGTAGAAATAGAAGATCAGTACATATAATATCATACGGAAAACGAAAAATGAAGGAATACAATGTTAACGGACACGGACGGTACCTGCTCAGAAAAAAACCACAACACAGAACGACATAGAGACCGGGACGGAACACGACAACAGCACGGTACAATCCGACGTTGCGATAACTACCGAACAGACCAAAGTACAGACTCAACATTACATGCGAAACAATCATTTAATGCACCACTCGACACAGACAACACAGGAACAACACAGTCAGACCGCGATACCGCTAGCACATTGACACGCGAAAAATGTACACTTTTAACAAAAAATTAAACTCCTACAAGATACCCTTGAACAATACACACTAGAATTTCAACTAGAAATAAAACAATACTGACGACGAACTTTCATCCCACTGGAAATAGGCCTCCTCAATACCCAACAAGCAGAAACCGACACCCCTAATACTACAAAAGAACACGGCGTATAAGGCAGAACGAACATATCACAATACCCTCAGGCGACAACGCTCCACCACCCACTACACACCTAAGCCTTCTTTCACACACACAATACACTCCCCCACAAGATATTCTTATACACAGACTTTATTCAACACTACCTACGACAACCCGACAAACATACACATACACTATCCACACAACCCCAACCATCTCGCGACAGAATTTTCACAGACACACCATGCGAACAAAAATTAGACGTGCAAACATTGCAACTCATTGGACTCAACCATCCCCAAACTACTAAACATACACCCCCCCACAACAACTATATGATAAATCCCCTATACACATAATCAACACATGGGAAATCACATTCAAGACAAGCACATGAAAACTTACGTTACTTTCCTCAACACAATACGTCAACTAGAGCATAGTTACTCACTAACAGATAACCAATTATTAGATATCATCTTCATATTACTTAAAGGTAATGCGAAACAGTGGTGCGACCGGACTATATGAACATCCTGGAACAAAAAGATCGAACTTACACACAAAACCGAAACCAATCAATTACAGAATATTTACTACAACTACAAACCGT